GCTGGCTGTCTCAAATAACCTCCCTGTCCTCGGTGCGCCACAGCACAGCTTCCGGGAGGATCTGTTCCATGATCTTAGGCACAGAGGTGAGGCCAATAGGTTGATAGTTGCCAGGGTTCTGCTTTCTACCCTTGTTAAAAATGGGTGCGATGTTTCCCTTTCTCCAGTCACCAGGGACTTCACCTGACTGCCATGACTCTTCAAATATCATGGAGAGTAGCCTGGCAACTACATCGGCCAGTTCCCTTGGGACTCTGGGGATTTCATTAATTTGGCCAGAGGGATTCTCCAAAAATCACATAGAAACATAGGGCAGGTCTCAAGAGTAGGAAGCAAGCCTTCTGCCCCCACCTTCTACTTTGCACTGTCAGGCAAAATGTTCTTGCAGGTTCCCAGGCCGTGCAAAAAAGGCCAGATACTACAAAAATTGAAAAGTTTAAAGAAAAAATAACCAATACCTAGAAGAACACCATCAGATAAGAACACTGAGGTGCTGGAGCGTGTCCAGAGAAGGGCAACGAAGCTGGTGAAGGGTCTGGAGAACAGGTCTGATGAGGAGCGGCTGAGGGAACGGGGGTTGTTTAGTCTGGAGAAGAAGAGACTGAGGGGAGACCCTGTCACTGTCTACTCTCTACCTGAAAGGAGGTTGTAGTGAGGTGGGGGTCGGTCTCTTTTCCCAAGTATCAAGTGATAGGACAAGAGGAAGCGGCCTCAAGTTGCACCAGGGGAGGTTTAGGTTGGACATTAGGAAAAATTTCTTTACCAAAGGAGTGGTCAAACATTGGAACAGGCTGCCCAGGGAAGTGGTGGAGTCTCCATCCCTGGAGGTGTTCAAAAAACGTGTTGATGTGGCACTTGTAGACATGGTTCAGTGGGCTTGGTGGTATTATGGTACATGGTTGGACTTGATGATATTAGAGGTCTATTCCAACCTAATGATTCTATGATTCCTGTATAAGGAATACCTTTTGTGTTATAAGATGTTTTGTAAAATGCCTGTTCCTAGAGGGCCTGGATGTAAGGGTTTATGTGGGAGCTCTGCCACCAGCCAGCACTGATGCTGGTGTCCTGCAGGGTGGCACTCCACTCCCATTTGTGTGCTGGGATGCTGACAATAATAATAAAAATAAAATTTGCAGAAGTCATGATGCTGGAGTACAGAAGGGTGACAAAAATTGGCACATCAGGCAGAACTGCTGAGCTGAAGTCCCTAGTTTTATTGCCTCTCTTCAAGCTGTGAAATAAGCAGGGAAGAACAGTGAATAGATTGGACATGGGTTGTTCACTGCTGCACTAAAGCCCTGGAGGATGACTTCCAAAAGCACAAATGAAGGTTCGATACCCAGCTCCTGGTGACTTCCAGTGGGACGAAGCGCTTTCATTTCCTTTCATGCCTTTAAATGTCTTTATCAGCTGCACCTTTGAGAATTGGATGGCGAGCAGGGAAGTGGCAGTATTTCCATGCTGGCGAGGCAGAGCTGCGAGAACAGGCAGAGAATTGCTCTGCACTCACTCCCCCCATGGTTCCTGCTGTCATGCAGTGACCTTGGGTTGTTACGAAACCAAAGACCAGAGACGAGGTACTCAAGAGAAAGCAGAATCAGTGGAAAGGACACAGAGAGCTCAGTTTAAGGTGCTTTCCTAAGAGCAAGCAAAACTCAAACTGGGAAAGCTCTGGCACTAAAAATATCAATGATATGGTGGTGGACTTGGGCCACCAGATGAGGAGGAAAGGTGCTACCATTTCAGGATGGATTGAATGTCTGTGGCAGACAAGCATACAAACATAGCCTGCTAAAAGTGGTTTGGACAGGGCTGTGTGAGACAGAAGCCGGAGAGACACTTCTGGGAACAAGTAGCCCTAAGCTTAACTTTAGCTACTGCATAGAGCAGAGTTGAGTCCCTCAAAGCTAAGATGACAGTGGAGATCTTGTTACAGAAGAAGGATAGGAAGATACAACTGAATTTCTGCCTGTTGGAATCTGTGTTGTGCTCTTCACGGCCTGAGGAAACCCCCAGACTTCTCACTGGAAACTCATTTGCCTCCAGACGAGGTTGATGTTTGGTCTGCCTGAGCTTGGCTCTGAGCTGGATTGCCCTCCTACTCCATGTTGGAGGACCCTATTTGCCTGAGGAGTGAATGTGTTGGCTTGGAGATTGGGCCCCCCCAAATAGGAACTTTTAGTAGAGCTTCATGGAGCCTACACCCAGATCTGTGGGCTTGTAGTTCCTGAGGTGGGGCTCACAGGTCAGCTCTTCGGTCTTTGCAGGGAGGTTCCCTTGAGGATGGTGTGCTGAACATGTGGAACGCTTCTTTGTTCTCTGTCTATGAAAATGCTGGAGCTGATTCAGTTTGATCTTGACGTTTCCACAGCCTGAAAAGAGAGAGACTCAAAACCACAATCTTGGAAGTTAAACACATGTGGCCTTTAGAGGAGGTTGGTTTTAGATTTCCACTCTGGAGCTCAGCATGAGCTTGAATTGTCATTAAAATCGCCCGGCTCCATCCATGCAAAGCTGCTAGTAGTACGAGGTTATGAGCCAGTTTCATCCATTACTTTTTCTGTGTACAGCAGTTTTCATCAGATTGTCCTTGGCCTAGTTTTTTGAGAAAAATACAATCTTAATTCCAAGTAATCTCACTTACAACTTTCTCCCTACCCCCATAGTATGGGTGAGGAGCTGCTATTTGCCATTACTTTGGATCCTTTGTGGGCATACATCACTGAAGTGCCTGTATGAGTCCCGAAGTGCTGAAGTTTGAAGCTTCGCCTTACACTGGAGGTGCTTCACACCAGGAAAATTTGGTTTAGGACTACAAGTATTCCTGCTAGTGTATTGTCCGAGACAAAATCACCTTGAAAAGTCATGGGAGGGGTCCTTCATTGCCATTCCTCAGTTGCATTCCGCAGCTTTCTCTTCATCCATCCCATCGGTTTCTGTCAGTGACAAGGTCGTTTATTTTAAAATTCAGCCCATTAGCGAGGTGTTGATCACAATGTGCAGCCAGGCTTGATGAAAGGTGCAGGAAACTACTTTGCAAAGGTGTTCCTTCAGAATTTAAAATTCCTGCAGAGTTTCCCAACCTCTACAAATGCACCTATAGACAGCTAAAGCAACCTGGAGGAGTGCACAGGCTGTTTTGGAAGGCTGAGTTTTTTGAATAATAGCCACCAGTCTAGTGTTGACAGTTATTGAGAACAAATAACAACTCAGAACAATAACCAGTATTTAAAATTCCAAAAGGATTCAGGCATGTGGGTATCTTGAGAAACCTGGCCTATACAGTTTAAAAGCTGAAGTACTCTTTTAGCAGTAACTTAGCTACTTGGAATCCAAAATCTTTTAGAACATAGTTCGTTTGGGGTTTTTTAATGTATCTTTTCAGAAATAGCAGCATGCAGGCTCTGTCATAGATGCAGTAACTACTGAAAAAAAACCCTTCACATCTTCAACAAACAGAAAGCAGCAGGAAAGGCTGAAACACCTGCCTGCTCTGTTGCAGCAAAATGCTCAGAACCTGAAGCTTGAGATGGGCATCCTGTTTCTTTATTGCTATGGTCTTTCTGGATTTAATTCCTCTAAAATAAATGTCGGGAGAGGTTCCTCAGAGAATGTCAACAGACTGAGCTCATGCGTCTGTTCTGCAAAGTCCAGGCACAGTGGTCAGCAAACATCAGCTTTTCCCCCAAGGTCTGCACGTGCCCTAGAAAGTGGCACTGGAAGATGAAGGAGTTAGAAAATTCCAGGTTTGTCCCTTGCTTCACAGCGGGCTGAAATGAATATTCAAGATGGGTTTGAGTGAAGCTGTATTTTGCTGTACGAAGCCAGACTACCCTGTTCTGCAGGAAGGACTTAGGTTAGAGGGGAGAGGTGAACCCTGTACGGTGCTCAGGCAGGCACTGGGTCGCGATCAGCTCCTAGAGGAAAGCCCTCCCTTGGGAGAGTGCTGTGCATGTTTCTCTTGCCTAGAGACAGATCAGGAAAGACACCTCTATGCTGGGTGAAATTTTACTTCCTTGTTAAACTGCTTTGCAACAGAAAGTTGAGGGTTTACTGATGTGACAGTTTTCATTAGAATATTGGTTCTCCACATAGTATTTTACCCGTCTTGAAAAAATTAGCACTTGAAAATGGAATATTTTGGCTAATGAAATACTTTAACTGAAGGAAAATGTGGACTTTCCACAGAGGAGACACACACACCAAAACCTGCACTAAAAATCACCCTGAAGACATCCAGGTTGCCGAAGTGCCCACTTACAGGTTCTATGGAGTGGCTAATGCCCTTCTGTGTGTCACCTGGTGCTCAGCCTGCGCTCGGCGATCGATCTTTTGGCTGGAACTTTGAGTGATTTTGTACGGCAGGTTTCAGTGTTCTCAAGTAATTGCAGCGATCTGTAATGTTGCCCGTTGTTATTTGTAGTACTTCTGTGTCTAAACAGTTCACAGTAACCAGGACGCAAGTTATCCACACATGTACGTCGTGCATTCTCCATGTGAGATGGGAACGCCAGGTACCGAGCGGCATGTTAATAACAGACTGTTAATCCTGTCTTGTATTTTTGTAATGCAGATTCAGCTTTGTACTAACACAGGTTTGATTTTTTTTTTCTACCTTCTGTCTGCCTTCTAAAATGTTTCCCTGCCAGAGGCAGGAGCAGTTTCTTCATTTACAATAAATAAATGCCATGGATGTGACACCTGCCCTTTTCTGGGCTCTCACCCAGGGATTAGACAGTGCCCCGGGATCTGAGCTTTTTACATACAATGCACAGCTGTGATATAAAGAGCCTTTTGAAAGGGAGGCTTGGCAGCTTTCCCAGAAGCTAACTGAAGGGTCCGTTTGTGCCTTACCTGTGATTAATTCTTTTCCGTTTGTATTTGCAGTGGAAGGACTTGAGCCCAGCACTAACAAAACCCAGTTTGTTACGCAGTTCACTGCCTCTAACTGTATCTCCAACCTTTGGGGCTTCCTTACCTTTGCAGCTGTTGACTAATATTAATTATGTGTATGCTGCTTAATCATCTAGGATTGACCCTTTAAAGTGGCATTTAATCAGTTTTGAGGCAGCTGGCAAAAGCCAATTGTGCTAGAGGACCGTAGCAGAAACATCTAGGCAAGGATGGAAAAGGTTCAGAGAGACAGTGAAGAAAGTCTTACAGTGTTTGAGTGCTCAGGGCTGGAGGCATCTGCCAAAAGCCCTCTCTGTTGCTTCACTCTTTTTCGTCCCTTTCTGCGAAGAAGGGAAGATAAACAGAGGAATAATTCAAGGGCTTCCCAGCTTGTTGTGGAAGGAAGTTCATGGATGAGTCTGCAGTGGCCTTGGTGTGTCCTGAGGCTCTGCCACTGCTGGAACAGCTGCCAGGGACCATGTGTGGAAGCAGCGCTTCTGCTGCTCTGCCTTTAGCAGAGAGCTGGGTCATTCCAGCATCCTCAGGACCAGAGAGAGAAAGATGCCTTTGCCAGCACCCCTGTTCCCTAAGCAGCATGGTTTCTCTGCTTGCAGGGGAGAGATGTGTATTAACAGGCAGACACCGAGCTCAGAAGAGTGAGTGTGATTTTTCTGCTTAACATGGTGAGCTTTTGGTTTTGGAGCTTCATGGCAGAGGAATTTGAGGGCCTGGCACACTTAGGTTAAATGGGCATTATTGAGGCTGAGCTGGTGAGGGCGACATCAATAGAAGGAAAACCCAAAGTACTGCTTGGGATTTCAGAGGCAAAGAAAAACAGCCTAACTTGTTACTGCTGTTGAGGGCAGCCATGTGGAGGTGGTGGGATATCTATAGGCCACTAAAGAGAGCTAAGTAGTGGGGTTTTGAGCATTACGGAGAGACGTGGTGTGGGAACGGGGGAGCCTATGAAGAAGAGGCAGCTAAGCAACGTGTGGTCAGAGAAGAGTGAAACCTTAGCCTAACTGTGGAATCCAATCAGAGTTTTCCCCTTGAGAGTTTGGACCATAGCCACCAAGATGATGCGTATCTTCCACAGGTACTGGAGAAAACTGACTATGTATTTCCAAGCTGTGTCCAGTACCTTGTAGGACCACATCCCAGAATAGCTAGGCTAGGTTGAAGTGCATAAGCTGGAATAGAGCAAGCTCACCCAGGGTACGTGCCAAAGTCTGGAGGAGCCTTTCCTGAGTCCTGCTACAGACCTTCATCAGATGAGCATTCAGGAAAAAATACCCCTGCACTCCCCACCCAGGTCTTCACCTCTTTTCAGATCAATCGACTAGTCATCTCTGCTCCAGCAACTTGAAAACCTTCAGCTTTGCTTCAAAAGAATTTATGAATTCCCCTTGCAGTTCAAGTGCATTCACCAGGAGTGGGGAATTCCTTTAGATCTCTGCTGAAGAATGCTTTTAAGTCAGGAGACTGCTTGTATCTACAAAGCAAAGTTCCTTGCTCACCGACCAACTCTCTGCTGGAAGCATCATCTCCTTCAGGAGATTCATCGTTGTTCCCTGTTCCCTCTTGCCTATCTGTAAACTACCCCATGGCTAGGTAAATATTTTTATTATATCCTATGCCAAGCTTTCTTCCCCCTCCCAAGCAGAAAATGTGCATCAACTCCCTTTGACTGCGAATGAACACCCGTGTCTGAAAGGAAGCTGGCCTTGCTCCAGATCTCAGCCTCACACATCCTGGCACAATGTTTTCCAACATCAAACTGTAGCAAGAAAACAGTCTTTGGTTTGCTCCTACGGTGTTAATATCGCCATGCACAACTGCTGCAGCGAGCTCTTACAGCTGTTCTTTCACAGTCAGCTGGTAGGGTGATAGGATAAATGGGGAAGAATTATCCAGCTCGGTGCTTAAATGGGATGGATGTGGTAACGAGGGCAACTTCTTAGCTTCCCAGTGTGGGAAAGGGAAGGTCAGATAGGCTGGACATGTCCTTCTCTCTGCCAGAGCAATGCTGGTGCTCCAGGTTATGGACTCTTGCAGTTGTTCCCAGTTACTTCACAGGCAGCCCAGCTCAGCCTGCTCCAAGAGAAGGATTTGGCTTTAAAAAGCCTTTTTTTTTCCCCAGCCATCCAGTCGCAAACAAAGCATCCCTTTTCTGTCTCCTCTTTGCTGCCTGTTCCTGCCTGGTTTATTGGTAAAAGCCAGCAGAGGCTCCGTGGGGAGCAGATCCAGGGCCACAGCCCCTTGAGCTTGGCTGCGTGTGGGGTGGTGTGGGAAGCGAGCTTGCTCTGCTGTGATAGCTCACCACTCCCATCCCCATGTCTCAGGGAGAAAATGTGCTGCTGTTTGTTAGCAATGACTCTAAATGAGCACATGCTTCAGCTTTCTAGCCGAGCACATTTTTTGGCCTTTCAGTGGTACACGTTGTAAGTATTTCATGTTATCGACAGCAGCCAAAGGTCTCCAACCTCCTGTCTGCCAAATGAGATCAGTGTCCTGCATTGGAGGTCTGAAGCTGCACAATGCATCGAGCCACTGTGTCTGATGGCCCTGCTTTCTTTGATGTGCTGATCCTAAGGTTGCTTTTCTCTTTGTCCCGTCTCTGTTCTGTGTCTCAGGGCTTTTAAGCTTCTCTCATCTGAATGTATCACATCTTGAGCTAATTAGAGCTTAGTTTACACCAGGTTTTTCACAGGCTTGCGGGCAGTGGCAAGGTGGCCTTATAATGGGCTTGTACGCACACACCACAGGGATTGAGCCCCATTGGTGATCCAGGGAGCTGGCAGCACCTCGCCTGCGTAGGCAGACTACCATGGGGTCGTCCACATTCGCGACCTGGTCGTCATGTTGGTTGGGGTTATGAGCAGGGATCCTGTTCTCTCACCTGTGGGGCTGGGTTTGGCCTGTTCTTCCCTGGTGCACCTGGACATCCTGGTACGCGATGCCATGGCTTGGACTGGTGAGTGAGACCTCTGGCTCCTAACGAGGCGCTGGGAGGTCAATACACAGATTTTCCATGAGTGCATTCCCTCAGGCGCACCCTGGAAGGAGGAGATGCATTGTCTTTATCGAGGTATATCTGTGTTTTTAAAAAGCTATTGCCCAGGCATAGCTGTGGCTGGGACTGGTGAGTTCATGGACCCACTGAAACCTCAGCGGCATAGACAGGACCTGTGCACCCCGGCACATTTGAGAGGGAGCTGCCAGTAGCTATTCTCTTTAATGCAGTTACTCTGCTTTTATTCACTGTGGGTAAAGGTGAGCATTGCTCTTCCAATTACTCCTCTCCTGTCCAGAAGCTTCACTCTGCTCTGAACCACAGAATTATCCTCATCCTCTGTTGTATTTACTGACTTCTTAGCATCTGCCAGATCCAACTGGGAGCTGCCCTGCTGGTAATCAGCATCCCCCCCGGATGCACCCATCCCTGGCTGAGTCAGTCGGCAGCAGCGCTTCAGCACAGCCCTTCCGAGCAGAGAAGCAATTGCTCTTTCTGCCCTGTCTGTCTAGAGCTCTCCCACCCAGCCCTCCTGGCAGCTGAGTCACTTCCTTCTTTAAGTCTGGCCTTAAATCTTCCTTTTCTCTTTGCCCTGTGATTCACTCCCTTTGTGAAGGGCTTTGCAGAGCTCTGGCTAGAAGATGCTGAACAGAGAGATGCTCCCGGTGCGAGATGTCCTCCTTGTCTCAGAGCCACAGTGGTGAGCCCCTCTCCGAGGGCTGGTCCCTGCGCCGTGCTAAATGGTGTCTCTTAGTATCAGTATTTCTCTTATCTTAGCATTTCTTTCAATGCTGCATCTGACGTAGTTATAGGAGCCAACTCCTGCCTGAGGGCGAGTGCGTGCAATTTCCTTTGACATCAGCGTGTGCCTGTGAGGCATAGCTCTACCCTTTCCCACCCCATTTGATTAGATTCAGTAAGGGAGTCATTATAGGATCTCTGCCACTCCTCCTCATCCCTCATGGGATTTAAGGAGCACCACTGGTAGAACTGAGCTGAAATGCGCTCAGAGAAAGGAAAGCTTCAATTTCTGCTCTATAAGCCTGGAGATATTTTTAGTATAATATCTACACTCCTCAAATTTTTATATTAAGATTTTTTTTTTTCTCTCATCTGCTTATTTCCTTGGGCTTGGACCCTCACATATCCAAGTGCCTCGCCTTTTCAGTTTCCTGCTATGGAAGGGAATCGGCAGCCAACAGGGTAGTTAAAAGATGTCATCGTGAATTAGCTGCGTGGCACCATTGAACTTGCTAGACCTGCTCCAATTACTCATCAAAGAGTGGGATAAAATTTGCAAAACCATTTAAATCCTGATTTTGGCTGCGATTTAGGTAGTTAAGCACTAAATCCATTTCACTATCCTTGCAGCTTAGGTGTACAAATACTCAAGTTGCTTGGGTGCTTAGGAAAGTGTCCTGTGGGTGCCTTGCCCTTGGAACCTGGGCAGAAATGGGAAAGACCTGGTTCTGTGAAGGTCTGGTATATTCCTCAGGACAGTGGTGCTCAGGCCAGTGCCAGCGGTGTAAGAGCACATTGATGTGCTCAATCCCCCAAAAAATGGGATTGAATGAGGAGATTCAGTGGCAGACTGTGACGCTTCAGTCACTCTGTAAGGGAGGGTCTGCTTGGGAGACTGTTGCGCTTAGAAATGCATGCAGGCTGTGCAGCTGTATCTGTTTGTAGCTCTGGTCTTCTAAAACGTGACCAGTGACCATTTTCTCAAGAACAACAGAAAGTCATTTTCCAGTACAGTAAGTCTGCAAGTGAAATGAAATCACTATTGTAAAGAAGTTTCATTTCTACAGAGGGGACAGGGACTATGGAGCTTGTTAGGAAAAGAAGACCTCTGGTGCAAGAAGAGGACTTTTCATTTTAACTGATTCCTACAGAAGACATAGCAATCTAGTAAATGAGAACTGCAGTTTCTAACAAATAGTGATAATCTTAAGCTTGTGATTTTTAATGAAGCTTCAGCAATCATATTCTTCAGCTTCAAAACAGGCAACTTTTGAGAACAGCATAACATCTCCTTTGCATACTGATCTTACTTTGCATATTAAACTTACATTGCATATATTTGTTTTCTTTTGCTTAGAATGAAGTGATCAGCCAGCAGCTCTCTGTCATTTTCACTCATTGCTATGGACCCTACCCTATTCCAAAGCTCGTTGAAATTAAGCGCAAGCAGACCTCTCGCCTAGGTAAGTGTGACTTGAAGATACTTGTTGGTTCTCCAAGGAAAGCTGTGGGAAGTCTGCATCGCTGGCTGGGTCTTGAGGAGGCATGAGTCAGAGAAAAACCTGAATTTGAGAGGCAGAACTAGAAGAAGGAAGGGCCCC